GACAGCAAAGCCAACCAGTTCTGGAAGGATGAACATGACGCAAAAAAAATGATAACCCCAAAATAAATGAAAATAAAACAAAAATATTTTGTAAAAAATGATGATCTAAATGAAGATCTAAATGAACAAATAATAAAAATCAACTTTCCATTGCCTGGCTGGCAAAGATTGACTTAAATATAATGTTAATTCGACATATTCTTGGAGCATGTTTGCATGCCAAGAGTTGTTGCCACAACACAAAGACTCAAACTGGAGACATTCGCAAAAAATGCATCGAGACTTGAACCAGTGTTCTACGTTTCTCAAGCTGATGAGTCCCATTCAACTATATAATTAGATCAGGTGTTCATCGAGTTTCTCGCAATGCACCGAGTTTCATTCTGGAAGTTGCAGAATGACGCTACTAGGAGCAAAAGGCATCGCTATGCATCGCTACTAGAAACAAGGACGCTCGCCTGGGGGCTCCTGGCATCGCTACTAGGAACAAGAAAGCTACTAATAACAAGAAGCTAGTAGAAACAAGTGCATCGCTACTAGTAACAAGTGCCTTACTACTGGGAACAAGAAAGCTACTAGGAGCTTTCTTGGAAGTTGAACATTCTCCAAGTCGCAGTCCACTTCGTCGTCCGACCCAGGAGCCCGACCACTGCAGAGCTCCGGCGACGTGTGGAGTTCCTGCCGAGGCAAGGTGGCTCGCGTCCAGAAACGGTGGAGATAAACCCGAATAACACCATTTGGAAACCGTGAAAATTCATGCAAACTCAGGTTGGATGTATTTCTACATATGATCCTTCGTGAGTTCTTGCCAGACCACAAGAGTGATTCTGCGTCCTTTGCAAGCTGTGCTTGGAGGACAAATCAGAAACCAAACCTTGCCTTGGTTTCAGTTCATATCAAACAAAATCTCAATATGAGCAGTAAGCATGAGGACGAATAGTCGGCACAAGAGAGTGCTGGTACCAATCCCAGATTTCCTTCCGTGCGTCACCAGTAGCTGCTCCCTACGTGTTGTATCATGTCATGTAGCGCAAGGTGCAGCGTCCTCCGCTTTGGCTTTTCAGAAGTACTTTCAGTGCCTGTGGTCCTGGTCTTGAGTGCCCAGAGTGGAGCCCAAAGGACCGTGTTACATCAGTTATTCCTCTGTTCTTCACTGTTTCTCTAATTACACTCTATGTATGTGTCAAAGTGAGCCGTTAAGCCATCAGGAGAAATAGCTTGCGTTGACATGGCCACAATACCTAGACTTCAAACAAGCTGATGTTCGCACTGCTTTGTTGAAGTTCAGGCCGTCGCAGTCTGCGCACCGGCTGGGTTTCACACCCGGGAAGTTCTGGCAGGATGATCTCCTGGACGGTCTCAGATTGTCACGCTGTCAAACATGAAATCCCACCCTTGATGGGTCGCACCTCCGTGAATGATGACTTTGACATCTTGGATGAGTGATCAAACAAACACGTTTGAGGAAATTTAAGGAGATCTATCTCCAACTACCCACAATGAACCTGGCATTTTGGTGTTTTGGGTATCCCTCACATCCCCAGCTGTTCGGACTGAAGAAATCATCCCACCAGCGTAGCTTCGCAGCATTTCGCTGCACTGCAGTGAATCAGTGAATCAGCTCTCCTGAGGGCCTGCCAGCTTCAAGGCCGTTCGGACCTTGTTGAAGGCGTTCCTGGCATCGAAAATGTCCGTGGCTTCAAGGCAGTTCAAGCAAAGAATCTCCCAGCAAGGGAGGCAACGCATCAAGTTCCAAGTTCTTGGTACAAGTACATAGTTACTTTGGTCGTTCACCTTCTTGGTACACACTGAGCACCGCGTCCAGCCTGGTCTTCTGCTTCACCTTGGTCAAGGTGTGGTTCCAGAAAAGGGACTGCTAGTTTTCAACCTCCATCCACCTCTTTGGCTCACTTGGCTTGATTGTCCTGTGAGAGTGCAGCCCTGTCTGTGAAGCAATCAAAACGAGGTTCAATTGCCCATATCGACCAGAATATCTGGACAAAGTGCAGTTCAAGGTCTTTAGGATCCACCTTTCCAGTATTGCTCTCTGTGGGCCAACCTTGGGCTGACCATGAAAGCCTGGGGGAAAGCGCAAAAGTGGCGCAATATCAGCAGACTTGTACAGAATTGCAAAATCAGAAAATCCTAGGGATACCTAGGGTGTGTCCGAGTGTCCGTCTCAAAATAGACCCTCTTGACCCTGGGACTTCATCTGGCCATTCCAGACCAACTTGATGGCAATAGGTAGTGTTATTGCATTTGGGTCTCATTCATCCCGCGCAGGCTGTGGCTTGAAGCGGCCACCTGTGGCCCCGACTTCCTCGTTCCTGGCAGGACAAGGCGTCGGACAAAGGTCTCCAAGGATCCATGAAATCCTCGCCCATCAATCCGAGCCACTTTGAAGCCATTTGGAGGTCTTTAGGGAGCCAGCTTTCTCCATTGAGGTTTCAGATGAAAGGGGGTTACAACACGGGCTTGTTTAACCCTGTTCTTCTATGATCTTGTGGGCACTACAAACTAAACGACCTCAATGCTGTCTTGGAACACTAAACTTTCAGGATTATCCGCCTGCACGAGAGTTTGCCTTGAGACCCTTCCCAAAATCTACAGGCAGTGAGCTTGGATTCAATTGCATCGTCCCTTTGAGAGTGTCAAGGCAAATTGGCAACAAATTGAACAAAACACATTAGTGCCAGCTACTCATGTCCACTCCTCACTCCACATTCTTTCACGTGTCTTCCAATCTGGACGGTGACTCTTGCCTGCGAGGTCTTCGACCGTCGCTCGGGAAGAGACAGCATCACGCAAAATCAACTCTCTGTCTCCCAGAGAAAGAATGGATCTGCGCTTGAGACCAAAAGTGGCTGGGGTGACTTAAAGTCGTGGCCTCTTCTGCCAACCCCAAATGCAGCTTTGCAACAACTTGCGCAGCTGCACTTGCTCACCCAAGCCTCAGGCTTCCTCAGGCCACAGTCAGGCTCACTTTGCGTAGTTGTCGCCGATCATCGTTGCCTGCACGATCTTCCAAACTTTGAGGTATGCATTCTTCACAGCCTCAGTGAACTCCGTTTGCAAAGCATCATCCAAAGTCGCAATGAATGCCTGGCCAACGATCTCGTAGTGGGGTGGAAGCACTTTGTAGCCCACGTGCTTCAAGCCCAACGTTTGCAAGACTGGCACCAAAGTATCCAGATCTTTCAACAAGGACACTGCTGTAGCCACTGTGCTTACCACCCTGGCACCATGCTTCTCCAGCCTGCTTCCTGGCAGCCACATGGTTTCCTCATCTTTGGCAAACGGAAAAAGCTCTTTTGCCTCAGGCGCGATGCGGAAGATGTGGCCAAAGAGGATGCGTCCAGCTGCTTCAGGTCCAACGGCTGCAACCTTCTCAAAAGTGGTCTGCACCAGTTCAATGTCCCTGTCATCCAAGGGTGCATCCACTTCAACTGAGGGGCTCACCAAGTCGAGGGGAAGTTCAGAAGCATTCACGGGGGAGCCGGCGGCCATGCTGAAGGACTGCGAAGCTGTGCTGCAAAGCTGTGCGGTCTAGAGGTCAAACTGGAAGCTTGAGCCAATTGAAACATGAAAGTTCTGAGTGGCACTTAGGCAACGTCGAAATTCTGCATCTGCTAAATGAATCAAACTGTTTTCTGCCCTCTGATGTTTGACATGCAGATAGATGTCCTCGGGTCCGTGCTTTTGCTCCCCATCTTGTCCTCGACTCCCCACAAATCTCCTAGTCCAACCCCTTGCCTCGACTCGAATCTCACCGTCTCGCTAATGAACTGCTGCAAACGTTTGTTGTCGGTACCCACCGCTCGAACCTTGCACCGGCCACGTGTGGAAAGGATATGTTGATGCCCCTAAAGACTGGTGCCAGGACTTCCTGTTTTGGAGGCATCCTTCTCAAGAGACCATGTGCGCTCTGAGGAGGTTCAATATTCACAGTCGCATGGAAACATGCTGACAAGAGCAACAACTACCCGTCTTCATATTGTTTGGCGTGCCTTCCCAAGGCCCACAAGCTCATGAACGTAGGGATCCACATGATCTTCGAAAGGGCCTTGGTTACAAAGCGACTGACGAACCTTTTCGAGAAAGCTTGCCTCATACTTTCCGAAACCGGCCCGTGTGGATTCGCGAATGCAACAAAAGCAGCACCTGCTTCTTTGCTGTAAGGAGAACACAATGCTTTGTTACTGTGACTCTTCAGCAGCAAATAGAAGGTGATTCATCTTGATCATCTTGTCTGCGGCAATGCATTATTGTCAATTGTTCTTTTGCTTTCTTTGACGAACATATAGAATTTGCGTATCGTCGAACACGTTCGCACCGAATCCAGCAGTGCACATGACGTGCCATGAAATCATGCCAAAACGGCATCACAAACCGTTGGCTCAAGAAAAAAAAGCTGCGCCGTGCGACAGCTGTTTCAGTCCCGTGGGTTATGAGCCCAAGAGCCCCGGTGACACTTCGCTGACGGTGCCATGTCGGCGTTGGATCGACGGAGGTCAGCCTCCAAGGAGCGGAGGATGACGGCTGACGAGAAGTTGGACGCCCTCTTGGCTGCACAGGCTGCTGAGAAGGAGAACCAGCAGCCGAAGACACCTCAGAGAGCGCGAAGCTTGGAGCCGTCGACCAGTATGACACCTGTGCTGAAGAGCACGAGACAGTCCTTGACTGTGAAGGCTGCAGCAGGTGGCTCACCTCCTACAGTGGCATTGGCTGCTGGAGTGGAGCTCCTGCCCAAGGAGGTGCCGCGCAAGGGGGAATGTTGTCGGCGTTGACGCCACCTCCCAATGTTGGTCCGCTCTTGGCCGGTATGGGAACTACGTCAGGACTACCTGCTCTTCTACCCCAAGTACAAGGGATGCTGCCGGCGGCTTGGCCTGGTCAGGGAATTCCTCCCTTGCCAGGGTTCTCAGGTTCAGGAGATGGTGGAGCTCGGGAACAACTCCCAATTCTTCCTGAACGGCGTGAAGTTCATGGAGTTCTCCCTGGTGGCCTTGGCCAACTTCCAGCAGGAGGCGTTCATCATGGTGGTCTACCTGAACAAGCTGCTCCAGCTCTTCGTGAAGAATCTCGACAGGTTTCGCCGGTGAATCCATGGTCGGCTGAGAAGATGAAGGCGCAGGGGGAACCGGGCCACGAGAAGCGTGAAGATCTGGTTGAAGCCCTTCGTCGACAATGTCTGAGCAACAGTTTTTGGTGGGACTTCAAAAGATGCACAACCCTGAGCAGGCCGCGTCTGACTCATACAAGTCTGTGACGGAGATCCCAGGTGGGGGTGGTGGAGTTGGGGGAAAGCCTCCATTTCCGTGGCCGTGTCCGCCTGGCATCAATCTGGTTCCCAACGGGGCTGGAGGACTTCCTGCTGCCAACAGGGTCCGGTGGAGCGGACATTTGGAAGGATGATTCGCTAGCCATTCCTATTTCGACTACTTCGTCTTCATCCGAGATGGAATATCACCTCTCTGGATGTGAAGTTCGCGTTCCTTCAAGCTCCCCGACCTATATGCAGCCTGGCGGTAAGCCGGCGGCGGTTCAGCCACCAAAGGTGATGGTTGACTTGGGTGTCTGCAAATCCGATGAGGGTTGGCTCATCAAGAAGGTTTCAACACAAGCCCTTCCTACTGGGCGATCTATCGAGATCAAATTCTTGGCAAAATGGCATGGGAGGAACCTTTGGCGCGTCGTTGAGAACGTGACCAACAAGGTGGCCTGCCTTCCCTTTGTCTATGTGGACGACTTGTTGGTGCTTGGGGGACAGTCCGCACACAATGGACTGCACTTCCACTTGGAAGACCTCACAACCGGAGGCGGTGAATGACCGAAACTGGGTCAGGTTTTGTGGCTACGAGGTCAAGTTCAAGGACGGGGGACTACTTCTTGGTCAGCCATCGTACCTGGGGGAACTCCTCCAGCGGCGCAACATCGAGGTTAAAAGATCGGCACCTCTTCCTCGGGACGCTGCTCCTCCTGAAGACCTTGAAGAATAGGTCACCGCAGAGGAGATCAAGGCAGCACAGGGGATTGTGGGTGAAGTTTTGTGGATCGCACTTCGCAGCAGACCGGACTTGGCCTATGCCGTGAGTCTGATGGGCCGTGAGGCGACGAAGCGACCAAGGTGGGTGGCGATGATTGGACGCCATGTTCTGGAGTGTTTGAGCGGCACCAAGGAGCACCAGGGAGCACTTCCTCATCTACAAGCCATGTGGTCCGGGCGATCGTGGGCCCGGGGGAAACCTTCCTAAGGAAAGGTCTATGGAGCATCTTGGCGATGATCGGGGGCGCGACCCTGCAGTGGGAGACCTCGAGGCAGTCGCGTCTGGCCCTTGTCAATAGCGGAAGCCGAGCTCTACTCGTACATCTAGGCTCTCAGAGTGTTGTCTCGGAGCCAAACGCTCCGGAAGATCCTAACTCTATAGCCTTGAGGCTCCCTCTTCCACCTTTGAGATGGAAGCGTCCAGCGCGAGCCATGGAGTGTGAGGCCGCGTCCAAATGAGGCTGCTGGCGGCATTCCGTGGAGGGCGAGGCTGGCTGGGAGGCGAGCCCGTGGAAGAGATTCCATACACAACCTCGCGAGTGACCCAGGAGGCGATGGACGAGGGCACCTTCGATGTGACACGGCCGCCAATCCTGGTGACTAGCAAGGGCCTACGACTGCTGAGACCGGAGGAAGTGGACATGGAGACGCAGACGCTTCGCCTCATCCCAAACGAGCAGTTCATCGCGAAGGCACCACCTATGAGACCATCGGTGAAACCACCGGTACTGGGTCCGCAGCGGGGCTATGGTGGCGGCACTTCATCTAGCTCTTCGAGGCCGAGCGCCGGCGATGGAGCGAGGGCAAGCGGCTATGACGTCTTCGTCAAGGGTGGCGGGGACCGCTGCCGGACTCACCCCCAAGGTGGCAGGATCCACCTTGGAGGGCATCTCAAAGTCGGCTGCAGATGCGAGGACTTCGGGACCTATGGGGCCGCCGACAATGGAGCGCATCTCAAAGTCGGCTGCAGATGCGAGGACTTCGGGACCTATGGGGCCGCCGACAATGGAGCGAAGGCACAGGCAGCCAATGATCGACCCTGGAATCGACCAGGGAAGGCACCGCCGACCATGTTGTTGAGGCCGGTGGGTGGGATGATGGACGACCAGGTCGTGTTCCAGGACTCTGTCTTTTGGACGCCTGAGATTCTGGACGCGATTCGGGACTTGGTCGAGGAAGAAGCGTTGTTCTACAAGCCCTCCCGCAAGAGCGACAGTTGGGACGATTTGTCTGGATGGGCGGATGGGCATCGCTGGTTGGTCCGCATGCATGGGTCCGAAAGGGTGCAACGGCTCCATCCGGAACATAGGTCGTGCCCAGAGGAGATCTCCGACCTGGAGTTCATGGTGGAAGGGCAAGGAGTGGCATGGGCGAGCGCTGATCGACAGCGACTGGCGGCGTGCTGAGTTTGAGGGGCCTGGGTCAAGGACCGGCTTTTCCCTCTTTTTGATCCGCTCCGGACCTCGGAGCATATAAGCTGGAACCCTGTGTGACGGCTTGAAAAGCCGGGGGGAGTGCGTATCGTCGAACACGTTCGCACCGAATCGAGCAGTGCACATGACGTGCCATGAAATCATGCCAAAACGGCATCACAAACCTTTGGCTCAAGAAAACAAGCTGCGCCGTGCGACAGCTGTTTCAGTCCCGTGGAATTAAAAGACTATGACTCTTTAAGATTATTAAACGAATAAAAGAAATGAACAGGACGGTAAGGCCTTGCTTAAAGGGGCTTACCGTCCGTTTGTGTTCATAGGGTTCTTCTTTTTCTGAATCCTTGCATCACGCCTGCTCGTGCACAATTGAAACTTTGACCTGCGATCGCGCCCACAGCGAGGCACCTTCGCCATCAGCCTCGTAGTGCTTTATGCACCTTGCAAAGCACTGGCAGCAGCAACAGCTTGTTACACTGTTTGAGACATCAGTATGAAGGAAGAGACGGAGGCACGCCTGCACAAAGTGTCCATGGGATAGGCATATCATTTGACTGAACAATGCTAGAAAATGTGAGATGGTCTGAGACAAACGTTTCCACTCTAAACAGGAGAGTTGCGAACGTTGTCCCTTTGGTCACCGGTCCACCTCCTCAACTGCCGCATCTGCTTCTCAGTGGCCTGGTACCCGCGTCACCCTGGATCCCCAAGACTCGTGTGGTCGATGACATCAGTGTGAAAGAACTCCCTATCTATATTCTATATGTAGTTAATATATATATATACATATACGCATGTTGTTCTCAGCAGTCTGTAGTTCAAATGAACTCTGAGCTCCCAGTTTTTGCATGATTCAGTACAGTCAGATGGCAGATGGGCAAACCTCTGATTGGGACAGGCGTGGGCTTGACAGCAATTCTAGCATGATTTAGCCAGTTACACACTGTCTGGCAACCATCGGTCAACAGCAATAATCAGTAGCTCTGAACGTCCTTCACATGTGTGTTGCAAAGAGTATAGAAAATTGATCCAACTGCTCCTTGAGGGAGGCTGGTGCGCAGAAGTCGTCGAGATCATCAAAGCCCAAGCTCGCACTGGAGATGCTGTCCCGGCCTCGTGCGTGGCCATTGGGGACAAGGTGGACAAACGCGTCATGGTCCCAGTCAAAGTTTTGTGCCAAGTCACTGTAACACTTTGGACATGCACAGGGCCTACTGTTTGGGGACCCGTCAATATCTCAAATGCACCACACTGACAATCTTTTGTGCTTGGCCGCCCCAAGTGACTTTGAGAACCACCCCAAACAGTCAAGATAGCAAATCCAAATAACAATGGTCCAAGTTCCAAATGTTCCACCATATTTGCTGCTGTTATCTACCTCCAGCTGGAAAAGGCCAGTGTGGTACCTCTTCTAACTTCCCTTGACTCAAGACATTCATCCCATCAAGTCTCACCTCCCTTTCCTGCCCTTGCTATATACACCCACGTCGGAACCTCAAATCAATCAAGTTCCGGGGCAGTGTGTGTTTTGCATGTTTTTGTCCTGACAAACCTTCTTCAAAAGACCAAGCGGGGGAATGGGTGATGGGATGACGCACAAACAGTCTTTTGATTAGCAACAAGAAGCTACTAGGGGCTCGTGGCCATACTACTAGGAGCAAGAACGCTACTAGGGGCTCCTGGCATCGCTACTAGGAGCAAGGACGCTACTGTGTTATTAAACATGGTTCATCCGCGCTGCACATCCTCTCCATCTAGGCTTCGCACGAGTGAAGCCCTGAAGCCGCAGAACAAAATGGGTCAGTGGAGGCTACAGTAGGGTCTCAAGACCATCTCAACCATGTATCTGGAATACAACAGAACCTGCACAGAATCCGGTTGAATCTTGACTCTACCGAGAATCATGGCCGGCCACGGCTTTCGGTCTTCACCTTTATCTCATCTCTTAGATTTCCATAGATGTCCAAGGTCTTCACCAAGTGATCATGGACTAGGAGCAAGGACGCTACTAGTAGCTCCTGGCCGTACTACTAGGAACAAGAAGCTACTAGGAGCAAAGGGCATCGCTACGAACGGAGCAAGGACGCTTTGGGTCTTCGTAGCTTTTGGACTTTTTGGATCTTTTTGGTCGGGCTTGGACAGTCCAGTTTTGGAGGCAGCTGGTGGGTCTGTCTGTACTCACATGGGAGGTTCCCAGTGGTTCCCAGTCTCCCACCTTTTGCATCCTTTTTGTCATTGGATTCAGTTTGACTGTGATAGCAAGTTGTGGCTAGGTTGCATTTCACTTGCAGCAGGAATTCATGAAAGCAGGTTCACTGTACAACCGGCACTGAAAGCAGGAAGTCACTTGAACCAACTTTAACTTGCGTTGACTCTCAGGTGCAAAATGAAAAGAGCCCACATAAAGTGTCGTTACTCGTCCCCAGCCTTGCTGTTGGGCCTCTGCCTCAGCTGTAGACCAGTAGCGATGCACTTGTTACTAGTAGTTATGCACTTAGCTACTAGTAGCTTCTTGTTACTAGTAGCGATGCCCTTTGTTCCTAGTAGCTTCTTGTTACTAGTAGCAAGGCCAGGACCTACTAATAGCGTCCTTGTTAGTAGTAGCGATGCACTTAGCTACTATATAGTAGCGGCCATCAGTTAGACACAAGGTCTCTGGTCTTTGTCAATGTCAGCGTCGGCTGAACAAACCTTCACCGAGCTCCGCACAACGACTCCTCCGGAAGATCTAGGAGCACATCCTGCACACCAATTCCTCCAAACCGCAAGGCAAAGGCTGGGTTCCTCAAAACACACTGCGCGGTCCATCCAGTTTCTTTTTGTAGGAGGTACCAGTGGGACTACAACAATCCAGATTTGACTCGACCTGTAGAAAATTCTGAATCACAATGGCCCTCCTAAGCATGAACAAACAAGGATTCAGTGTTGGTGGAGTTGACTTGTAGTGTAAAGGATATGTTAAATTACAACTTCCACCCTTCCACCCTGCAGTGAATTCCACCGAAGCCCCTGCCCTAGCAAAGCAGAATTCAATGAAAACATACCGGTGTCAAGAACACCTGTGACTTGGTCCAGGCGGTGTTGGCCACCCTGAAACAAGATCATGTTCAGATTGGTCCACTCAAGTTACAGTAACCCTGCCAACGCCAAAATACACTTCGTAACCCTGCCATCCCAACCCAAAAAATTTGACTCTTAACGCTCCTGCTCCAGTGACTCCGAAGCGGAGCTCCGCTTGCTGCCATTCTCTGACATGCAGCCCTTTACCCAATCTTCATGGTGCTAAAAACGGCTACGGAATGTCGACAAAGTAACCATGGAAAGCCTCAAGATGCTCCTCACTCAACGCTGGACTGGCTTCTTCGTTCTTTTTGCTCCAGGTTTGGTCGCCACTGGTGAGGCTTTGGATGAAGGTGGATGTCTCAAACTCCGGAATCCCTCAGTGGCTATTCAGTGATTTCTCCCAAGAACATGCACAACATGATTCCGCTTTTGGGCGATCTCCGGATTGTGAGACGCAATCTCTTCATCTGCTCATTTGTGGTGGCCTGCTTGGGCTTCGAGCATCTTCTCGCCTTGCAGTCCCACCACAGGATGTCCGCCACAGTTCCAAGTTCCAATCATATACAGTAAGCACGAATATGTGCGACTATGTGTGGAGCACAGCAACTCGCATAATCTGAAATAAAACGTGTTTAGAAGAAACCTTATAATCAAATCCTTATCAAGTGCCTTACTAGTAGAAACAAGAAGCTACTAGGAACAAGTGCATCGCTTCTAGTAACAAGTGCCTTACTAGTAGTAACAAGTTCACATCTTGAGACGGAAGTGACGCCTCCGGAAGTCCCTATTCATCAGGATCTTGGGAATGCCTTCTGTACCTCAGAAATTCGGTGCCTCCAATTCCTAGCCTTGTTCCTCCAGAAGAACACATCATAACATATCATAACCTTCCTGTTGTCCTTATGAAACCGGCATCTTTCTCAGTTCTAGGATTATTTGTCCCCCGGTATGGGTCGTGGATGTGGTCGTGCCGTCTCTGTCTCTAGGCCGGTGACATCCAATATGCAAGGCCGGCCATGAGAAGATTCCCTGTGCCCAAGATCACAAAGACGCCCAGCACCTGCAGTTGCATGTCCTTTCTTCTTGTGCCGATACCCACCAAAAAGACTTCAGGGTATGCTTGGGAAGCCTGACAAGCTTGTCAAACATGTTTGATCCTTCAGGGATAAAGGGTCCACCAGGATTAAACAAACATGTTTTGGTCCATGGCAATGAAGAGGTAAGGCTTTGATGCACTGGTGCTCAATCTTTGGATCTGATCCAAAGACCTTTAGCCAGTAAACCTGAAATAGACCTGAATGCGCTTGTCCTCACAGGATACCTAAGGCCTGGGACATTCGTCCGGCCTTGCCAACGGTCACAAACACCGGGACAACATCGTTGCGGAAGGTCGTCTTCTTAGCAGAGTCCACCATGGCCTCTGCAGATCATTGAGGTCATTTGAAATGGAAGTGAGGCTGGTTGGTGTGATGTTCAATGGGTAGATTGCTTGCTGGTGTGATATTTTTGTATGTTCATCATACCCACACGCTTTCCCTTTAAGCCCTGCATGTCCATGAGAATCCATAGACCCCTCTATGACTGTGACTGGATCATCCCGAGTCCAAAGGCAGCTCGGTCGGACGGTCCGACGGCCTTGAAGATCTCAGGAGCGAAGATGAGGACGCAGAAGCGATCCCAAATGAAGGTGCCCATCAGAGTAAGTCCCACAAGCCCCATGACCTTCCAGCGGAACTCATCCTTGGCAGAGTGCATCACACAGTGAACCGGTGCCCATTTACATCTCTTCCTTGAGGGTGGAGTGGAGAAAGGTCCATCTGAGCTTTTCTGGAAAGTAGTTGGTCAAGCCAAATGAATGCACTTTGGCAGATTCTGGATTCTCCTAGTATTGAAGGAGGAAATCTGACAGTATATGCACCAGCGATACCTCGGTGTTCAATATCCCAGGTGGTGTAGGAAGTCTTCCTTCAACTCCATCACCAGGATTGAAACAAAAAAGTTCAGCCAACACATGCGACCATCTAAGGGCCGGTCATTGGGGAAGGGTGACAAATGGATCAGCTCGTTCAACTGCGGCTGAAACTCCCACCTCAGCAGAAATACTGTTATGGATTGTTTACGGCGTCTTCGCCAAAACCAACACACTGGGCCTGGGCACCATGCATAATGCGAGAATTCTGGTGGGTGGGGACCACTGGTGCACTGTGCCCTGTTGCCCACAATACGAGTACCAATCACTGCTTCCCTAATGGCCGAATCTGAACGTTTTAAGCACAATTTGAATAATTGGTACTGGCAGCTTGGGCTTGTCAAACTTGTCCCTTGCCGTAGCTGGGTTCCCCTGACGCAGCAGCGGCGACGCTTCCTGCAACTGTGAGGACTGAAAGGAACAAGGCCTCGGCTTTGCAAAAATGGATGGACATTTTACCAGGTCTTGTCCTTCTGTCAAAAAAGCAGGCCAGCAAGGGACATGCCCATGTCTACAGCGCTCCTTCCACCTACACTCCTCACAAATCTACCAGCAGGTTTGAAAGCAGCAAAGAAACATGGGAGATCATTATCACCTGGCACAGTCTGTCTGGGATCCTGACCCGGTTCTCCATTACACCTTTCATCCATGGCTGGCCCTGCACAAGAGCGTGCAAGAATAGAACTCGCATTGCAAAAGGCCCCCTATGGCACTCCTATTGGTTTTCCAAGCTAATCAAACAAGGAACCTTGAACCTTGCGAGATGAGAAAACCCGATCGATCCCGAAACACTCAAAAACATCAATTCAACTGGTTCTGATCGTCACCGTGGCTTCTGATCGTCGCCGTGGTTTCTCACCTTGTAGTTCACAAACAGGATGGCCACGGTCTGAGCCTCGGCTCCAAACCCGGAGAAGTGTGGAGAAAGGCATGGCAAAGCCAGATGCAAATAAGCAATGTGTGGACAGTGTGGACCTTGCATCCATCTGGGGTGAAAGTAGTGTAGAGAAATTTTGTTTGTTTCCTCCTCTCTCTCCCATCCTTTTCCCTTGCACCCCGCCGTTTCCACCAGAAACACCACAGTGTTCATCAAGTTCGGCCTCGGAACACGAGTTCGGGCTGCCAACCGAAGTGTGTTACATCAGTGATTCAGGTGTCAACTTCAAGACTTTAAGGTATGTTGAAGTATGTTGCAGGCACAAATGTTTTTCTTGTTCAGTCACAATAAGTTTATGTACTTGTCTGAAAACTGGGTTGAACAAAAGCGTGGATTTCGATGAGGCATTCGATACTAACTAAGGAGCACAAGGACGTCACATGGTAGGATTCACTGCTCCAGAGCCCGCTGCAGAAACGGCTGGGTCCACATGGAAAATGCATACTGCGTCCAGTCCATCTCCTCCTCCTCAGGCACATGCAAAACTCCATCGTTTCAGGGCGGTACAGTATAATAACCTAGTGTTCTGCCTGTCAGCTCAAGGCTCCATCTTGAAGCAAACAAAAACCATGGGAATAGCAGGCATCATTGAAAGGCCGTCTCTGGCCACACAAAGTCAGTTGCGTGTGGCTCATTGGTTTTTTTCAGTCTCGCCGGCCTGCTCAATCAAACCACGCCGCCTCAGCCTTTCTCTCTTCCAGAAGTCCGAGACATCCTTGAAGCATTGGGCTTTAAACGAAACCATGGGATCAGGTTGTGTGAGCTGATGGAAAAGGGTAGCAAAGGTCTTTCCATTGCAACATGCAGAGTCAATGCAATAGAAATGTGTCACATGGGCGTCAACTCAACTGCATGCAATGTGAAGCAGTCATCTCCTGGAGGGAAGGTCCCTGCCAACCTGCGCAACTCCAAATAGCTCTGCGGCTCTTCCAGGCTACATTGCAATCCAGTATCCCACAGTTGTTAATCAGGTGAATCGGATGGTCTCAAATTGTCACTTTACGATTCATCAAGTACCATATTGGACAGCAGTCGCCCGCTCCCTCCCCCGCACTGCACTTTCCACCTGCTTGTCTTTCGGGAGAGTCAGGCTCCATGGCGGCGCGTGCCATGCGGACGGAAGCCACCTGACCAGCTGGACGCAGCTGGATGATCAAAACAGAAGTGACGAAGTCACCAGCACTTCTGAGCTCAGCCCACGGCCATGCAAAAGAGGTGAATGGCTGCCTGTCCAAAAAAGTTGGCCAGTGGCTGAGTGGCTGTGGTCGATTAAGACTCCTTTTACCTGAAGTACTGCCTTTTTGAAGATGAACTCTGTGTGTGTGTGTGTAACCTTTGGAGTCACAAGGTTCCTGTTGGAATGTTTTTGTTGAGTTTTCTTGATTGTAAGCAGGGGTTGACGGAGTCACTGCATGGCTGTCGTCAACGAAGCTCCATGCAGTTGACTAGGATATCACGGCTGATCACCGTGACGTACCTGCTTTTGGTGTGATGTTTCCAAGCTGTTACTCCACTTTTCCGTAAAGGTCTAATGCACTCTGCAGATGTGAGCGGCCGTCGTCATCTTGTCGATCCGTGATCGTCGATGTTGACTTGAGCTTTAGGCCTCCTTTCCGTTTGAAGACCCCAGGCCCCCTTATGGTTTTTACCTGAATTGTTCAGGATTTGGGAACCCAGGTTGGCGTGTGGCAACCGCGTTCAAGTCAGAACGCCTTTCAATAAGTGTGTGTGTGTGTGTGTTCGTGCAAGCTCGCGAGCATGCATTTGTCAAAGGCACCCTTTCGCTTCAGTTTCTGCCTGACCCAACATCGAGATGAAGACAGCTGGATGGAACAGCGATCGGAGAGGGCGAACAGGGTGCATGCGATCACCTCAGTGATTAAGTCCGGAGTGACCGACACATTCTTCTTAGCTGGTCGATCACTCTCAGAACACGAAGACACTTTGCAAATGTAATCAATTGCTCATCTCAATACTGGGCGGCCAAGGCTGCTTCGCTGATTCACAACAGTCCCCTTCAAACAAATGAACCTGGGAACCACGGCAAGGTGATGCATAGGTGAAGGCAAGGGAGGCTGTGGTAAGAAGCCACGAGGAAGTCATCATTTGCCTGAAATGCTGCAGCGAAACAAGGGCGCCCCAAACCGGTGTCCAGATCGGGTGTCATCGGATGCTCGTCAAATTTCGTGGGACGTTGGAGATCTAGCAATTTCATCTGCATCAGAAACAGCAAGTGCAGGATCATCAGTTTGGAACTTGAAAACCCTGAAAAACGAGCAAAGAGTCTAACTGCAAGGTTTTTACTTTTGGCTCCGAGAACAAAGC